AGTTGGCTCCGTGACTACAGAAACTTTTACAATGCAGCTTCTATTCCCTTATCAAATCTTATTTTGGCAGTATTTAAACATACATGACTTCTTCCTTCAGCTCTTTCTTCTTTATCTTTGTAATCATCTCTGTGTCTCTGTCACTGGGTTATTTTCCTTCCAGGCCAAAAAACATCCCTGAATTCTGCCTGTGGGTAGAGAAACACCTCCTTGACCTTTCTCTCTCATGTGATGCCACTCCCTCTTCTCCCTTTTATTTTTCAAGGTGTTTATATGTAGACTTGAATTTTTAAGAGTTCCAGTCGTCCTCTCGCTTTCTGATCATATTGAAGGAGATTTCTCTTCGTGCAGTCCTTGGCAGCTACAGCTCATGCCCATATTTCATCTCCATCCCTGCTTTAGACACAGCTCATTTCCATTTGCCTGACGAAGAAGTTGCCTTCTTGGTTTTGGGAAATTATTAAATCTAAATTTTAAGATGTAATGTTGATACTTTCGACAGACATATGGCTGTCTTCCTTGTGGCATATGGCTTGTGGCACTTCTTGCTAAAATACCTAAATGTGTCATAACAAATAATGAGGGAAAGGAAAAGAAAACAAACTCACATTTTAGAACCTCAGTTTTTAGCTTCATTTTTTGAAAGCAGTGAAGTAGGGTTCTTTCTGAGGTTTTAATGCTGTGCCACCATCACAAAGGAGAAAATTTCATTGTCCAAATGGTGCTTCCTTTTTATCCTATACTTGTCATCAAATGAGATACCTCTCAGTAAGTAAATGGCATGCTAAGAATAAATTTGGATTGGATGAGGAGCAAGGAACAGCTTCTAATTTATAAACATTTTTTCTTGTATAATATATTGAAATATTTGTGTTTTAGGTAAATATTTTTACTTTCAAAAAAGTTTGTTGTTGTTGGTTAGTGTGGTTCTGAATTGAAGCATAGCTTTCTTCCCAGAGGGCAGAAATTTTAATATGTTATTGATAAGTATATCCATATTAATTGTGATGAAGGCAAGTTAAAGAATGATTTTGCATTTGCAGTCCAGTATGAAAATGAGAGTGTGAATGAATGCAGCTATCAAACGATTGCATCTTGTTGGTTGATGGAGTGAGTTAGATTAATTTCTGCTAAATCATGTTAATTAACAGGAAATCATTTTATCAGGGTGTATAGGTAGCAACAGGTGTTTCATTTGTTTAAATATCCAGAGATTAGTAACTGGCTGAGTTAAAAGATAAACTATATTGTAATCAGAGTCTGCTTTGTTACTTTAAAATATGATTGATTGTGTAAAGTAAGAAGCTTAAGTAGCTTTAGTTTGACAGGTACTTTCAGGAGTCATTTCAGAACACTGAAAGGGACTGCATGTAGTTCACATTATTCTTAGTGCTGGGAGTTCAGAGGGTGATTAATGTGGAACCAGGTGTGCCAAACTGGCTGCAGAATCATTTCCAGTGTCCACAGAGAATGTGGCTCCAGAGGACCCTGAAGAGCCCCCACAGGTCAGGGCTGTGCATTGGGCATCTGGTGGGCAAGGTCCAGCGTCTCCTCTTTTGAACCAAAGCCAAGATACTGCCTTTTTTTTTTTCTTTCTTTCTTTCTTTCTTATAAACAAAAATAACAATTGGGGATAATTTTTTGATGAAGAGACAGATAATGAGTAGGAAAGAGACTGGTGCAGGTAATCTGATGTAGGCTATGAAAAAACAGTGTGTGACTTGGAGATGGAGAGAAGATAAAGTTGGAATGGGGGTATGAAGAAGCCAACAATGGTGGTCAGTCTGCTCTGGGATGTTAAACAACACCCAAGAACCTTGTCAGATGGCTTGCTAATAAGTACCCATAAACTGCAAAGATGTTTTATTGTAAGCAAATTCACAGTTAATAGTGAGTGTGCAGAGATGTTCTCCTAAGTCAGCTGGAGTACAGTAACCTCTGCAAGATGAAGGCCTCTGTTGGTAACCAGTAGCAGGATCATAGTTCTTTTGATTATTTTTAAATGTAATTTTATGATCCTCTGCCTTTGGGTGAGCTTTTAAAAAAAAACCAACCCAAACCCCGCCAGTAATAATTTTTAAAAGATTGATGAGAATTTGTGCAATACAGTATTTATCAAGTATTTCAGCACTTCAGTCCTTACTTTATAAAACATCAGGATGCTGCGATGATGCCTGTGTTTGATGTATCAGAAATGGTTTGATCAGCATTCAGGAAGGTTTACATAAGGTAGTTCTTTCCTGCTCCACTTCACCACTGTAAAACCAGTACCAGAAACTGCATTGTGTTTCTGTCTGGAGCTTTTGTACCTGGCAGCATATTCCTTATTTGTATCAAAGTAATGTCTCTTCATCCCACTGGGGCTTGATTAGAAGTGAGGCACGTAGAGAGGAGGATCCTTGTCTGGAGAGCTCCCAGCATGAATAGGCAAGCCGGGTGACGTGGGGTGAGAGGCACAGGGAGGTGAAGGGAAAGGTCCTACCAGTGTTCACCCAGTGAGGTAGAACAGAGCCCAGCTCCTTTGGCTCTGGCTGTTCTCAGCTTTCCTGGCAGGTGCTGAGTTACAGGTAGTGGAAAATCCTGTGCGTTTGTCAAAAATTAGTGTGTGGTATCAAGAGCTTTCTTTAGCTCTTCTCACTGGTTAAAAATGAAAGGATGGAGAACCTGAGGAATGTGTGAGTGCAAACCCTTCTGCAGGCTCTTGAAGGCATTGCCTGTTTTCTTGGTAGAACAGCACCAGACACTGCAGGTTTCAAGGAGGGCAGGATTTATCCCATTAGGGGGAATTTAGAGAAAAGCCATGTTTTGCATGTGCAAAAATAAAAAAGAAGGCACTGTACTTCTAATCTATGTTGAAACAATCATGGTTTAGTGCAGTACAGGTAGTACAGAGGGCCAAGTACTGGCTCCTGTGGGTTTGAAAATGGTGACTTTGGATAAGAAACTCATATAATATTCATGTAACCTTTGCATGATACCAGTTATCTGTTAGACTGCATTTCTGACCTGCACCTCCCAGGAAACGAATACTTACTCCAGTGCAAAATTTCTTATTCTGCAAAGCTTGACAACTTCTTCTGAGATCACTCTGAGCCAGTTGGCCCTCTCTTAAATATTCATCAGACTTCTGATAATTGTGATAACCCTTATAGGCTGGCAAGCATGGCAAATTAGCAAAAAGATGATTGATCTTTTTTTATATGCAGTTTTATCTTCAACCTTTCCTGGATATATGTTATACTATAGTAATAATTTCTTCTCTAAGGTATTTGCCAGTATCTGGATTTGCACATCTATTTACAGTTGCCTTGAAGCCTCATAATTACAATACAGCTGAAATGTCCATTTTCTTTCCCTGACTACAAATAGGGATCAATCGAATTTTAAATGACTGCTTACGGGCTGGCTTCCGATCATGACCTTTGTAAATGATTAGAGCTCACCACTGTTGCTATCTACCTTGAAAGGGTAAGCGGGCAGGTCTGTCTAACTGGCATTTAATCTGGAAGAGAGCCAAAGATATTTGAGCTAAAAACCTAATATGAGTTGGCAAAGAGAAGTATGTATAGACCTTTGCACTATTATTTAGATATTTTTCTGCGTTTCTTTTTTGTACTTAGGAGATTCTTTCCTCCTCTAGATGTGATATGTATTTTTAGATAATGTTAAGCTGGAGTTATGGTAATAACTGAAGTTGCAAAATAAATAGCATAAAAATGTGAAAAATGGGGTTTCAAACTTTTAATTACTGAATTTGCTTTTTCTGAAGAATGTGAAAACATGGAATGGTTTGGGTTGGAAGGAACCTTAAAAATCTAATTCCAATCCCCTGCCATGGGCAGGGACAGCTTCCACCAGCCCAGGTTGCTCCAAGCCCTGTCCAACCTGGCCTTGGACACTTCCAGGGATCCAGGGGCAGCCACAGCTTCTCTGGGCAACCTGTGCCCAGAGTGCCAAGAAGCCTTGAACTTCCCGGGGTTTGCAGGGGCCCAGCTCTCAGGACTGTCAGGGACACTTCTGTTTATGCTTGTCAATTGAGTTTTGTTTTAATGAAGAATTGTGCCTGTATCATACAATGTTTTAGTACCACCACTGAATTTCTTGGTGTTGGTCTGTGTCGCTGCTGAAGCAGGAACGAGTATGACATCAGTGGGATTAGAAGGCAAACACCTCCTCGCAGTTTACTGAGGAGTTTTGCAAACCCAAAGTTTTGAAATTAGTAAGAGTTGTTGCTGAGAGCTATGAATGCTTTTATCTAATTAAAACAATATACTGTGTTACCTAATCAATTATTCTTGTGTAGCATTGATGATCAGAATATTTATTAAAGTAATAATGTTCATGGGACTCTGACATGATTAACTCTCTGAAAGGATTATATAGTTTAAAGTGAAGATCCAATCTTGCCTCTCTTGTGCTGGCCAGAGTATTTTCTCTTATTTCTGTAGCATGCTACTTTGTTACATGATGCAGCTGGCAGGTTGTTTAATTCTTGGCTTCAAACTAGTCAAATGTGTTCTTACCTAAAGCTTAATCCCAGAAAGCAGCTGTAAATTTGGATTGTAGAGGTTTTGTGTCAGTATTACCTTCAGCTAGTGTTTAGACAGAGGTGTTTTATTAATTCAGATTTTTTTTTTAAAGAAAATATTGAGTATTTGAAACATTCAAAATAAATACGAGATGAAAAAAAATTTCATGATATTTGAATGGGCATTTACATTTTTCATGTCAGTCTTAAACTGGAGATACTTGCTAAGGCAAGTACTACTATGAGAAGGATGGAGTTTCCAAAAACAGCTGAGTTATTTGGAAGCAGAAATCCTGTGAAAAGTCATGAGAACTTTTGTACCTTCATTATTCCTCTATGGCAGGGCTGGGAACAGCAAGGTGCTGTCAGGGATTGCTCACGTGTGACTTCCTACCTCATGCTTACAGGTCTGAAAATAATGTTTTGAAATAACAGAATAAACACTCAAGTGAGCTGTTTCTCTCTCTACCAGATGCAGCAACAAGAACTGGCCCAGATGAGGCAGAGGGATGCCAATCTCACGGCACTGGCAGCCATCGGTCCCCGCAAGAAACGGAAGCTGGATGCACCTGGACTGCTCTCCATGGGAGGGGAGGTATGTGATGTGTAGAGGGAGAGAGGTTATGACTTCTAAACCTCGTAGGAACAGCTGGGGTTGCTACATCCTGATGTTTTCAGTGAACAGGGTAACCTGAAAAGGCACATTTCTGAATTAGAAGGACCATGAGTCCAGTTTATCTTGCCACGGTTAAAACGCCATCTTCTCTTAGTTGTATTTTCAAGTATTAACTTTCAGCAGATAATTAAAGAATATTTTTAAAATAGTTGAATGTGAAGTGTGTGTCTTAAACTACCACTGCCTTTGTACCTGTTTTCTGCTCTGCATAATCCGAAGGAAAGCAAAAAAGAGTGGGGCACGAAAAAGTATCCAGAAAAATATAACTGCAGTCTTACAGTTGGAACCAAGAGCTTGTAGTAATACCAGTAAGTGTGGGTTTGTGACCAATGTGTCAAAACTTCTTACAGAATGTCAGGGTGTCCCCCACCCCTGCAAAGATAAGCCTGTGATCATGCTCAGTTGTATGAAATTTTAATGAGAATAGCGTTCTCCAGAAGTAGAATGGGATTTGTCAGCATGGTGTTCCCTTAGGTGGAGCATTAGCTGTGCTGCACAGTGGAATGCAGGTCACCCAAAGCCTTGGTGTGCTAACCAGGGTGGAGAACTGTGGTGCCAGGGCTGCAGCACCTTGGGGAGCTGGGAAGAGCCCTGAGTTGCTCAGCACAGATACAGTTGGGTGCTTTTGTTCCTGCTCTGCCTGCCCACTGGAGTCAGAGGAATTCTCCCTATTATATGCCTGTTCGGAGGAAAAGGCAAACATTTGGTTTTGAATAACTAAACTAACAGTTTTGGCTCAGACATTTGACTGTCCAAATGCCAGGCATTTCCAAAGGCCTTTTTGTTTCCCACTGTGGATAGCTTTTATCTGACTCCTCTCTCTTCGTGTGCTAAGATTAGTGCTGGGGAATTAGCTGAGCTAGGAACAGAAGTAGATCTTGTTTACATTCTAAACTTGACTTAGGACTCCAGATATGTAAGACGTGCTCTTGTTTCTGGTAAAATTAGTTTCAGGCTAAGGGAGCTTCCTGTGTTCTGTGTTGTCCTGTTATTCCCTTCCTTTCAGTCTCCCTCCTTGTCACATGTTTGGTAAAGAATTTTGTTCTCCATATGCACCTCTAAGAAATCTCACACCAAGAGGCCAGAAGAAGCTTTATTAGAAGCTCAACTGGACAGTGATAGCTTTGGCTTTCACTCATTTAAAAATAATTTGAACCTGCTAATAAATAATTCGTGGATCCTTTCAGATTTTACCAAGCGTACCTTCCTTGCTTGTCTTCACTTGACCAAGGGAACATTTTCTCCCAAGTATCAGAATTTGACTTTTATTGTCTTTTGGCTCTCTTCAAAAAAATGATCCTTTTGTAAGCTTTTACAGTTTGATGGACAAAACTGTGGTCACCTTCAGCGCAACATTTTATTGAGAGCTCTCTGCCTGAGTGGGTTATTGATGAACAGCTTCCCCCTCTCCCTGGAAGCTCCTTATCTCCTGGTACAATGCTTCAAGGAAAGATAAAGGTCTCTGGCAAATTTCAAAGGCTTCTTGGAGATTCCTGCTTCCTTTTGCCCAAATTTTGCTGAACAACTGTATTGTTCAACTGGCAAATTATCCTTGAAGTTTTTGCCGATGCATGGATCTCCTGGAACCATGAATTGTGTGCCAGTTCAGACGGCATTGCTCCCATCCCTCTTCTCCCAGCTTCTCACCATCCTGGCCAGCTCACAGAGATGCCTGGCTGCAAGCTGAGTTCGAGGTCTCGGATGCTGTATCTGCATTATTCAATGTCTTTCCCGGGGAACAGGACCTCAGGTGCTGTCAGGAGCTGTGGCACACGAGCTGGCTGCTGGAAGCTCCCTTTCTGTTGTTCTTCTCAGCTTATTTTAGGGCTGCTCTGCAGAAATAAACTCGACTCCTCCGAGATGCTTTTACTGTAAAAGGTAGTGAAATTCTGTATTCGTCTAAGATTATCTCTTCTTTGGGTTTCTGGAGATTATAAACATTGTTATGAAGCTGTTCTGTGGTTCTGACATCCACCTTCAGATCTCTGACCTCCACTGTGGTCTATGACACTGATTTCTCTAAGCAGTTTCTAAGCTGCTTAAAGCCCTTGCTACTGTTAATCTCTGACTTTGCCAGAGCTTCCTTGGCTTGCTTTTTTTTTTTTTTTTTTTTTGAGTTAAAATAGCCAGTTTTTGAATTGAAGTTGCTGATCTCCTCATTAATCTCTTTTTTTACTTACATGTCTGCTTTTGTTGCAGCTGAGACACTGCACATTTGCTAATCCAAAAAGAAATCATTTACGAATCATCCCACCCTGGCATGGTGCATTTTTTTCCCTTTCTGAACCAACTCTTTTTTGGTATTTTACTTAGTTGCATTGGCCATTTTTTAATGAGAAGTCTTGGGTTTCAGCCCAGCTTCTTGTTTTAACAGAAATACCAGCTCAGAATTTCTCTTTGGAAATCGGATCTTTTTAATGATACCCTTTTGATCTGAGCAGGAGGTCAATTTAGGGACTACTGATGGATATCCTGTTTAAGAGAAAAAGCTGATGGAAAAGCTTAGTGTTTCTGTGTTCAAGTACTGATTGTTGTATAGACAGAAATCTCTTCTACAGCTTTTATAAATGTGAAAAAGCTTGTACTCATAATTGCCAATATTTTCCACCAGCACTTTGTTTGGGAGTGTTTTCTGTAAGCTTGTTCTCTGTCTCAGGTTGCCAGTGCTCATTTGGACTTCCTTGCTGGTTTTCAAGCCATAGCTAAATAGACTTTTTTTTTGGATGGGAGGGTTATCATAAGACCAGGCCCATCATTTATTTCTCCTGTGCTAATACAGCTACCTGTATTTGATTACTTTTACTCGGGGACATGGAAAATGGGCAGTTTTGGAGTGAGGTTATTACTTTCACATGCTTTTTTAAAAATTTCTTTTCTCATACATGCCACTGTATGAAAATGTCTTTCCAAAAAACGGGACACAAATACTTCCTGGAGAAGTGGCTGAGCAGGGGCTGGATGTTCTGCAATGACCCTGCCACCACATGTGTGACCAGTTGCAGACTGTCAATGGCCTGAGCCAGTCTGTGATCCCCATCCCAATCCCGGGCAGTGCATTCCTGCCCCTTCCCTTGGATTGGCTCTGGCTCTTGTTGTACCCTGAGCTAACCATTTTCATGGGATAAATAGGAAGAAGACTAACCTAACAACAATAAAAAGTGAATAGTTCCTGCCTAGCTTGGTGAAGTAGTTTGGCCCAGAGCCCAGTGAGCCCTGGAAAGGAACTTCCAGCAAGGCAGAGACAGCAACTGTGAGATCACCTGCACTTCATTCGCTTCCTTTTCAGTGCCTTTCTTGTCTTCTCGTATTTGAGATGATCTGCTGCAAACACAGCTGCCTCTGTAGCAGCAGCAGCTCATCAGCAATTCAGCCTGCTTATTATTATAATGTGGTTTAGATCAAGAGGGAAAGAGAAGGGGTAAAGAGGAATGAGATACCTTTGGAAGGATTCAGCTTCTCTGCCTCGCAGAGTTGAAACTATTGCATTTGCAGAATTTTTTTGGAACTTTTTATATTTATTTAATAACAGTAGAGAGAATTTTTTGGAAAAAAGTTACAGCTTCTTGGAATTGAATGCATGATTATCCAGCTGGGTGTCCAACAGTCCCGAGCCATGTGCATGGACACACGTGGCACTGATGCAGCGGAGGCAGAGGGAGGGCAGTGGGTCACATTTGCAGGTTCCAATATACAAGACAGCAACCACTTCAGCTCTTTAGTGAGCATCCTTAGGCACCTCTAATGTCAGATTAAATATAGGAAGTTTGGAGTTGCTGTTGTTTACCTGAGTTGCTTTTCATTTGATTTCAAATCTGTTCAGGTCACATTTTTGATGGTTTTTTTTTCCTTGAATTTTAAGGTTAGGATTCGAATTTGGTTTTGTTTATGAAAGAGGTATTTTCACATAATTGTGAGAGTTAAAGCTTTAAGAAAAGGATTAATCATCTCAGGACTAGGTCAGGTAGCTTTTACAAGGTAAATATCTGGGTAGTGCTAAGGTGGCATGAATGCAGAATATGCATATTTCCAAGTCTCTCATTTTTTATTATGGAATTAAAGTGTAGAAGCTAAATGCAAATATTTTGCTGTATTTAATAATAATTATTATTATTATTATTATTTGCTTTTTCATCGAGACCTATGGCTAGTACCCCAAAATACATAAATACAGAGTATATGTTTGAAATATCTGAGGGTATAATTTGTTTAAATATCAAGTGAAAGCCCTCTCCTGGTACTTGCTGGCACAGATGGTTTTTGAATACTGAGCTTCCAAAGGCAGCTTCAGGGCTAGTTCAGTGAATCACCACTTATTGAAGACAGTCATTTTAGGGATAAGAAAAAACCCTCTTTCTCACAGCAGAAGAGCAGTCATCTTAAGAATATTCAGCAAACTATCCCAAACACCATCTTTCAAAATGTGCAGGACCATATGTTGGGCCAGTGCTCAAGGGAGATCTGATCCTCTCTGTGTTTGCTCATCCAGTATATTCCAGCCATTATATTAGTCAAGAAGGATAATGTTCTTGCAGACCTGGAAAGTCCCAAAACTACAGTTTAAAACACTGATGTTTTGTGTGGAGAAAAGCTAATTACTGAAGCGATTGTGAAATGCATTTTGGGTACGAGGCACCACATTTTTTAATTAAAGTAATCTTTCAGATGGTTTAATTTGAGTATTTTAAAGCGGTTTTCGTGTTTAGGTTTTGTGTAAAACATGATTAAGATTCTGGTTTAAGACTTGTAAATCTGTGTTGTACCAGGGGCTTCCCAGTGCAGGCATAAGAGACGTTACTTAATATTCCTGTCTATCAGGTCTTTATGCCATTAGTAACTCCTGATTTCTAAGTGAAAATGTAAGGATGGAGTCATGACTATTGGGAAAAAGTTCTTTTGACTGCAGTCTCTTTTTAATCATC